GCATAGCATGTAGTGAGAGGGAGGTTGTGCTTCCTTATGGACTCTGTGTCTTTCTACCTCTACCCCAGCTGAACAGGAATATAGGAGGTATAGCTTCTGTCCTCCCTGGTCTAGAGCTGGACCCCAGGTAAGCAATTCATGGAGGATGCTCAGCTACTCCCAGTCCTCATTCTTTGATTTATATTCCATGCCCTTCTTTTGCCAAAGGGCCCCAGCAGCTCGCTGAGTCTGCCAACCGTGGGGGCATTTGGATGGTCTGATAGAGGGAGTGCTGTCTGGCTCTTGAGGTTGATCATTTCCTATTGTTTTATTACTAGACCTGAGTCAAGTTCTGAGTCAGATAGTCCTTTGCAGAATGGGGAGAGGAACCTTGCAACACAAAGACAAAGATGAAGTGGGCAAATACAGTATTAGCAGCTTGAAAAGCAGCCGGCTAGTGGTTGACCTTTGAAAAGTTTGTCGCTGCGGGGAAATGTTAGAGCTGATTTCATTTGCAAGGGCAGCGCTGGCCAGCCCAGCTCCCCAGAGCTGCTGGGCATAGTGCCCTGGTAGCCGGTCGTGAGTCCTCCGTATCCCCTGGAGCTCTGTGTGGGTCCCAGCCACTGTGCCTGAACGCCCCCCACCCCACCCTTGCACGTTGGTATCATCCTTCTCTCTGCTTCTGGGTTCCCAGTTGCAGATGGGAAAGATCTTCCACAGGGGCAGGACCAGACCCAGACCCCTGAGCTGGGAACACGGGCCTGTGCACATGCCCTCATGTGTCCCCCCAGCTCTTCCTGCTCCCTGACCCTCTGTCCAGCCCCGCCACCCAGGAGCTTTTCCTCGATGGAGCTGCCAGGCTCCTCTTGTGTGGCTGGGACTACATGGTGTGGGGGTGGTGAGGTGTGTTGAAGGGGTCCACCCCTGTAAGAGGAAGGTGGTCACCGGCTAAGGACCTAGCGCTCATAACCGAGCCTACAGTTAACCCACCACAGGGGGCACTTCAGCTATTGTTAGGGATATACTGAGGGAAATAGAGGGCCAGGGGACTAACGCTTGCCCCTTGGCAGGTGCAGAGGGCTTTGCCTCCGCTTCCAGGAAGCTTGGCTACCACAAAGGCTCATGGTTTGAAAACCAAAGGGGACAGAGCCACACCCCCCGCCCCATCCCTCTCCTTACTGCGAGCTGGTTTCTGAGACCCCCATTTCTGTCTCCCACCTCCCGAGTGAGGCCCCGCCAGGACAGCTCAGCACGGCCCTAATCCCGAGCAGGTGCGGAGCCCGCTCGCAAGTCCCGTGGGCTCCATAATAGTGGGAGAGCCACGGACAAGCGTGTTTTCTTCTTGACTGCAGTGAATGGGTTTGGAGGGGCTGTGGAAGGTGCAGGAAGGTCCCCCCAAACCCATATATTGTGGGACCCATCGAGAAAAAGAAAATGGTATCCGTGACCAAAGAGAATCAGATAACTGCACGCTCTGCCTTTCTCTGGCCGACTCCCAAGTAGGAGTGCCCGTGAAAGGCCCCTACTCACACTCCCCGTGCTTATATGCACGTGTGCATGCGCATGAGGGGCCGTGTAGTTGCACACGTGTGTGTGTGTCCTGGTGGAGCTCGGCCTTCCTTCTACCTTAACAGAGCCTTGGCCAGTTTGAGGGTGTAAGCAGAGGTCTGCCCAGGCCTTTTTCCCTGGCCTGTTTCCCCCAGAAGAGGAGAGATGGAGTCCAGGAGGGGTGGGGGGACAGAACGAGGCACGCCCTGCCTTCCACCCCCAAGGGGGTGGGGAGCAGCTTTCTCAGCCTTGGGCTTATTCTTCTGTTGGTCCCTGAAAGCCTGCCTGGCCCTACAGCCGGCATTTATTCCCCAGGGTGGAGGTTTCTGTGCAGAGAAGTGACAGTGTCCTCATCCTGTTCCAGCCGCCTGGGCTGCACTCGGGTGGCATACCTGAGGTGTGAGCTGTGGCTGCACCTGTTGGCCGCCCCTTCCCATTCAGCGGGTTTGTCTTCATCTGTGGATCTTCAGTCTCTGCCTTAATTCTGTTTCCCTCTTTCCAAGTGAGTCATTTGTATGGATTTCTTATTCCATTAGCTCTCAGGCATTATCCCACCTTCCGACAGGAGAATAATCAGTCTCTTTCCCATCACTCCTGCTTCTCCTGCCCTTTTTAAATGGAGGGAAACTGCCTGGGCGGTTCTCTCCCTAGGGCTGCAGGAGAGCGGAGAGCCAGGAACTGCTCCTTCGCAAACCCTGCCATCACAGAACATTCCAGGCACAGCCAAGGTGCAGGTGGGGCGGAGTAGGACACGTGCGCTTTGCTCCAAACCTCTTCAGGTTGCAGATTCAGGTGCCTGTTCTGGCTGCCCACAGGGGGGAGAAAGCCCTAAGCTCAGGCCAGCAAATTGGGGGAGAAAGTGGGGTTTCGGGGGGTGTGGCTAGCTCTAGACCCAGCTCTGCCCCTCCAGCTACTGCTACTTTGGGCAGATCCTTCCTCTCCTGCTAACTGTACACCCCCTCCCCAGACCCCAGAACGCAGGGAGCATTCTGGAGGTGCTGGGGTGGCATGCTCAGTCACAAGAAAGGGTCAGTTTGCTAACGGATGCAGGTGCTCTTGCTCTGGGCTGCCCCACCATCGACGTGGAAATGACTCATCAGAGCAAAATCTTGAATACGAGTCCACCAGCTGTTGTTTATGGTTTAGAGAAGCAGTTTCTTTCTAGGCAGGGAGATGTTGCTGGTGCCAGGTGCCCGGTTTTGACTCCTCTCCCTGGTGTGCAGGGTCCCTGGTGTAGATCTTTGCCCCAGGGACCCACAGCCTCCCTCGTAGCTTGTGCTCTTATGATGTGGCTCCGTGCATGGGGTTCTTGGGTTCCTCTGAGAAAGGTTCCCGCACAGTTTCCCCTCCAGTGGCCGATTTAGTTAACAAAAAAGATGTTTGTGTCGACATGAACAAGTGAAGGCTGCATTTTAAATGTTTGTTAGGAAAATGCGACATCTGCATAGACATAGGCAGGTAAAGAGCTGCGTTTGAAAGAGGCAGGTTTATGAGGAGATACCTGCATAGACACAGGTGAGTCGTCTGACAGGACGAGATCGGAGTTTAACCAGGAAAAGAGACATCCTTAAGCAGCCATCTGAGATTTGGGGGCCACACAGTTTGTCACAACGATTGGTCTCTGCTGACGCAGCACGCGTCAGCCTTAGGCAGTTTGTCAGCAAACCTGTTGATGGGCACTCAGTTTTGAATTTCATATAATTTTCTATCTTTTTCTTTTTTAAAAAAGATTTATTTATTTAATTTATGCATGCAGGAACTGGGGTACAGGAGAGGATTCATTAGAGACAGAGCTGGGAACAACAGGCAGACTGACAAAATACACTGCTGAAGGGGGCAGCGGGCGAGGCAGGAGAGGTCTGCCGCACCATGTGGGATTCTCCCTGGCCAGCCGGGATCGAACCTGAGCTGCAGAGGCTGTACAGCTTCACAGCGCTGTGCTCAACCGCCTGCACTGCCAGGGAGGCCCAAATTTCATATAATTTTCATGTGTCCTGAAATATTACTTTTTCTTTGCCTGTTTTCCAACTACTTAAAAATGTAAAAACCATTCTTAGGTTGCAGGCCATACAAAAATGGCAGAGGGCAGATAAGGCCCCTGGATCATAGTAAGAAAACCCCCAGTTTAAGCTTCTGCTCTGTGGGTTTTGCTGTTACTGGAAGCCTCATGTAATCTTACCCAGCTCTGGGAGGAAGAGGCGTGGGCTTTCTTGGCAGGCACTTTTTTTAATTAACAAAAAGGACTGTGTCTATCTCTTTCCCCTAATAGAGTTTCTCATTGGAACAGAGTTGTTACGATAACCTCTATAGTTCCACCAGGTTGAGATATAGGAAGACCTTCCCAGTTTTGTATCATTAAAATGTTGGTGTCAGTCCATGTACTGTTATAATAATAAATATTATGTCCCTGGTGTTAAAAAAATAAAAGAAAAAATGACTAACAGTCAAATTCCAATGGCCTATGGCACTCACAAGCTTCTAGTTTCTAAATCACAAAATCAATGCAGGATGGAAAGAGACATTTGATGACATCTCCGTGCTCTCACTGCAGCAGCGTGAGTTAGATCCCCAACCAGCCAGGGAGCTACCCACATGGCGCAGCAGACCTCTCCTGTCTCCCCACTGCTTCCCCTCAGCAGTGTATTTCAGTAGATCCACCTGTTCTGCTCCCCACTCTGTCTCTGGTGAATCCTCTCACCCCCACACCTCTGGCCTGTATCCCAGTGGGGGACAGAACAGGCAGATTGACTGAAATACACTGCCGAGGGGAGCAGCGGGCAAGTCAGGAGAGGTCTGCTGCATTGTGTGGGTAGCTCCCTGTCTGGGGATTGAACTCATGCTGCAGTGGCTGTGGATAGCTTCATAGGTTGTGCCTTAACCCCTTCTGCCACCAGGGAGGCCCTGATTTTTTTAAAAATTTACTTTTGTGTAGAAGAACTGGGGTGTAGGCCAGAGATCCCCGGGGTGAGAGGATTCACCAGAGACAGAGTGGGGAGCAGAACAGGTGGATCTACTGAAATCCACTGCTGAGGGGAGCAGCGGGGAGACAGGAGAGGTCTGCTGCACCATGTGGGTCATCTCCCTGGCTGGGTATCGAACTCAGGCCATAGTGGTGACAGCGCTGAGACTTAACCCCTAGGTCACCAGGGAAGCCCCTGCTTTGATTTATGAAAGAAGCGAAGCTACTGCCTATTCTGAAGAGTTGAATAGTGATTATAATCTTGCCGAGTGATTATGCGTGCAGTAAAATTATGCAGAAAAGACCATGGAGTTTGTGAATGCCAGGGCGTGTGTGACGGGTTCCTGCTGCCCCAGAGCACACCCGCAGGCACGCGGGGCTGTCACCCTGCTCTCAGTGGACATGGGCTGAGCCAGCTGGTTTGGTAGCTGACTGGTTCGGGCTACATTTCTGTGTGTGCATTGACTCGAGAATAACTATTCCTCACCTGCATGTTTTCTAATGTCTGTTTCAGAGGGTCTGGCTGTTGGAGTTGGATTCGGGGCCGTGGAAAAGACAGCGTCCGCCACTTTCGAGAGTGCCAGGTAGGCTGGCTCCTTGCCCTTGAACTCAGCACTACCCCCAGGGGGGCTCCGGAAATGCTTGTTACCTGCTGAGCACCTCCAGGCCACAGGGCCCAGGTGGAGGAAGGCAGGTGAAGCACGCGCCTGAGAGAGGGATCCTTCGGAAAGCAGGGTTGTGCCACCTTTTTGGCCTGTGATGACTGATGGCGGCCATGGGTGTAATTGCTCCTGTTCTCCAAACCCCTTATGTATAAAGGCAAAAACGCATGACAGAGATGGTGTTGGGGCTGCTAAGTGCTCCCTCCTTCTTGAAGCCCTCCCCTTCTCTCTCCCGGACTCCCCCGTGCCTGTGTGCTTCATCCAGGCATCTTGTCCTGGGGGCCTTTCGGAAGTGTTCCCCAACGATCAAGGCATCCATTTCTCTCATGAGTGCACACCCCTCTATTTGCTGGTGGTAGTGAGTCGCTCTTCAGCCAGACTTTCCTCCTTTCTATTCCTCTCTGTTCTGAGAGCAGGCGGGCAGCCTGAGGCAGCAGTCTTAGATGCCTTCAGGGGACTCGGGTGTCAAAAATGAGGCGCCAGCTGGGTGGGCATGGCGAGGTGAGGTGGACCTCAAACAGCACACCCGCTCTCTAAATGCACTGACGTTCACATTTGCTTAAAGCATATACTTCAGGCCCAAGAGCTGACCCAGGGGCCACTGGTTTCTGACCCCGGCATACAACACATTCCTCCACCTCCAGACAGTACAACCTCCAAACATACACCCGCCTCCCCAAGGAAATGGCCTCATCTCCTGGAGCTGGTGCCGACGGTGGGTTCCCTACCCGACATGCATAGAAGCCAGATTATAGTGGCACAGAGTTTTGAGAAAAGAAAGCAGCTTTATTGCGAATCATTTGGGAGGAGGCACAAGAGGTAAACTCAGATCCGTTCCAAGGTTAAGAAAGGAGATTATAGGGCCTCAACCGCACAGCGGTTGAGTGCTGGGCTGCGAAGCTGCCCGCAGCCTCTGCAGCGCCGGTTCGATCCCCGGCCTCCAGGCGAGGGTCCCACATAGCGTGCAGACCTCTCCTGCCACCTGCTGCTTCCTTCAGCAGTGTACTTCATCAGTCTGCCTGCTCTGCTCTCTGCTCTGGCTCCCGTGAATTCTCTCACCCTCCCGTGCTTCTGACTGTACCCAGTGCTTGTATAAATAAATAAATCTTAAAAAAAGAAAAAGAAAGGAGGTTATATAGGTTTGGGGGGACTAGGGTTGAGAACAAAGGGGTTATGTTTTATTGAGTAAGGGCTAAGGGCAAAGAAACGTGGACTTGGCTGAAGTTCATGGGCTAGTTACAGGGCAGAACTTGGAGACGTATGAAGTTGTTTTGCTATTTCCAGATAACTGGAGTTTTGAATTTCGGTGGGGGCCCCTCCCTCGGGGTGATCCCCTCCTCTGTGTTTGCTCTTTCCTGGCTCCAGCCAGCCTGGGGGCTCAGCTCAGGCTAGTTACTTCTGCTTGTTCAGGCCGGTCACAGGCACTTTAACTGTGTCTGTGAAAGTTCGATGAGGGTTTTTGTCTTTTGTTCTGTAGGAGCCGAGGACAGTTTAGCCTCACTTGCATATTACCCAACCGTGTGTCTCCAGGCAGCAGGAACTAACTTGTCCATTGTCCCTTCCCACCTGGTCACTGAGCTTGCCCAGGCCTCTGTGCCCAGTGCCGCCTCTGTCTGCCCCCCGAGTTGGTGTGGGACCCCTGTGTGTTGAGTGTCACCACAGCTGGTCACTGACTTCTAAGTCTTTGCTACGGGATGTGCCGACTTCATGAAGCCCCTATCGTGTCTGGGCTGGTCATTCTAGGCCAGAATTATCCCAGTTCTCAACTTCTTATTCCTGCCTGTCAGACTCCCAGGCCACCTCCTCACTCTGTCTCCAGCCTTGACCGTTAACTTGATGCCTATTATGAAAGTCAGATAAGACAGTAAATAGGGAAGGATCTTTAGAATGTAAGAAATGTCATCCAAACAAGGGCTAATTGGGACTTGTCATGCCCTGGGGACACCTCTCCCAGGCAGGGCAGTCTGCGCTTTGCCTCTTGGCACAAACATTTTGATCTTGGCTTCATTAAGCAGACAGTGTCCAGGGCTGATGCTGAAGATGAATATTGTGGGGAAAGGCTCTGGCCTTTGAATACGTTGGGGCCAGCTCCTCCAGACACCAAGGCCATGTCGTCCCAGCACAGGGGGTGGGGTGGGCACGCTACGGAAGGCCCATGCTCGCAAGGCCAGCCTGCCCGGCTCTGTGCTCACAAGCCAGGCCTGCTGTCTGGCAGCGCCATATCTCCTGTGGCATTGCATCACAGTGTTGCTCTGATGTCCCTCTGCCTGTCACCGGTACTTTCTGCTTATCTTTATATTTCTGAGGACAGCAGAGCACAAATCATTCCAACCGAGCTCCCCCTCCCTCCACCAAACAGATTCTCTCTGAGTTATATAAACTCTCAACAGATCCCCTGAACTGGAATTTGCTGGGGCTGTGGGCCACGGAGATTTCAGCTTCACAAAAACCTGCTAAATAAGCATCAGTCGTGGGGGAGGGGAGCTTGCATTTATGCCCGATAGCTCACCTACCTACTGTCCCAGGGTGCTGTTCAACCTGCATCCCCACTTGCCCCTGTGATCCAGGTAGGAGTCCCTGCAAGGCAGATCACAGGGAAGGAGCTTTCCCTCAAGATGACCTATCCTGCAGTCCATGCTCCCCTATGATAAAGTTCATGACTTGGGTTCTCATCCAGAGTGTCCGTGACCTTCCTCCTGAGTGGCGAAATGATGAGCAGCCCTCAGGCAAGACTTCTTAGCTCACACAGACCTGGGTTTCATGGGGGGGATGAGGACTAGTGGCTGGAGAGTCAAGAGGGAACCCCTTGGGGAGCTGGAGACCAGGCAGACAGAAACAGCTATGCAGGAGACTGAGCATGCTCAGTCAGGGTCAGAGGGGTGGCTGTTCTCACCTGAGGCCAAGGGACACAGCTGCCAGCTGGCTCACCTTGCCCTGGGTTGGGTGTCTTGAGTGGGTTGCGGAGAGGCAGCCCTGCCAGAAGCAGGAGGAGAACAGCACAGGTGTCCACAGGGCGCGGCAGCCCCTGGCTGCCGGGTTCCCGTCTCTGGTTCCAGGGTCGCTACTGCACTTGATCAGCTACGTGGAATCCACCCACCCTTGTTCTCAATTCACTCTTGTAGGAGAGGAAGGAGAAGGCGGTCAGGCTGTAAGATGGTGTTAACTGGAATAAAAACCTCAATGATGGTTAGACAAAGAGCTTATTAGATCATCCAGTGAGGATTCCAACTCAGGATGCAGCCTGGCAGATTTTACTCTGTGAGAGCTGTTCCAGCAATCAAGTGTGTGTTTAGGGTACATAGGTAGGGACAGTGAGTCACTGGCATTGTCTGCGCAGCTGTCCCACACATTTAAGGCTGTTCTAAAATAAAAGGTTTCTTTTTAAAGAAGCTTTATAAAATTGAAGAAAATTAGAGTGCTTTTTGTACTGAGTTAGGGCTATAAATTATAACCATAAAAGATGAATTTCACAGAACAGGCAGATTTGGGGCGGAAAAGAATCAAACTGAGCCTTTAGAATGAAAATCATAGACATTCGCATTTCAACTTAAAGCGAAAGTTTAGACTAGTAGACTCTTCCTGATGGATGTAGCTAAAGGTAGAATTCATGGAGTAGATGGCCCAGTCAAGGAAAATGCCCACAGTGTGTTAGGAAGAGAGTAAACGAGACATAGAAGCTAGAATGAAAAGCTCGGCATTATCTTAATAGGAATCCCAAAAGAAGAGGAACAGAAAAAAGGAGGCAACATCAAAAGAGAATTTTCCAGAAATAGAGAAAGACATGGGTTTTCAGATCAAGACAGTTTGCATTTGCAAAATCAAACCAAATCAGCTTGTAGAGGAAGTTCACCTGCAGGCACAGGCGGCAAAGAGAAAATCTGAAAAGACACCAGAGGGAGAGACTGCATCCTGCCCAGAACTGCCGGCAGAAGACCCGGCAGCCACATCTCCAAGCTGCTGAGAAGAGTCCCTATGAGAAGAGCAGGGACAGGCAAGCCTGCTCTGAACGTTAGGTGGCTCATGCCCTGTGTTCCTGTCACGGTTGCTCCGCCCTGCGCTGGGTGCTGGGTGGCTGAAGACGGAATGTAAGCGCAGGGGCATAGCTGTCCCAGTAAAGGGTAATTTGCAAAAATGGGTGGGTCTTTGGACTGTGGTTTGACAACCTCTAATCTAAGGGTCAATTCGCCAAGCTAAACGCTCCAGCAAGAACAAGTAAAGACTGTCAGGCTTTTTGCTCTAAGACCTCCCTGCTGTAGGATCGATGCAGAAGGTGCATCAGGGTAAGAGGAAAAAGGTGATGATAAATATGTTAGTGAATCCAAAGGACAATTATTCTAAAGAGAGGGGAGGGAAGGAGGGAGGGAGGCAGACTAATGGGGTGCAGATCAGAGTAATTCAGTCATCAGCAGACTAAGCACATCTTCAAAAGACATAGGATTTGCTCTTTAAAATTCCAGTTCTGTGGTGACTAACAAGTGGCACGCCTAATGCATGACGTGGGGAGGTTAAAAATAAAGGAATGAAAAAAGATACAAGGGTTCTGCTGATGGAAAGAAAGCAGGCATTGCAGTTTGCCATCAGAACAAAGAGACGTAAGGCAGAAAGTCACATGCAGAATGAAGGTCAACACGTCGTGACAAGCGAGGCCATGCCTAGGACCATGGGCTGGCCCTGTCTGGGTGCAGCTGGCAGTGAAAGCCTCAGCTGTCCAAGAAAAGCTGTCAGAATCGAAGGAGAAACAGACAAAACCCCAGTCGGGGGCGGACCCCCCATAAGGGATAGTATATTCTTCCATGAATGGAAAAAAAAGGTTAACAAAATGGACGTTTATCAACCATCAGTGAGAAAACCTACATTTTTTTCAAACACATGTGCCTGTTTCCCAAAATGGATGACTGTGCCACAGAGGAAGTCAGAATACA